CGAGTGGGACACTCGTTCGTCAGGAAAGGCGGAATCAGGGATGAAAATACAGCCATGGCTCGGACGAGTTCGTATTGGGTCGGAAATGGGAACATGGGACACGGGACTGGAAGTACTGGAGCCTGGAGCACTGTGTGTTTATCGCTGAAGTGACATACACCATCCCCTTGTTCGCCTCAACGAATAAACCGCATTATTATTTTTTATGCGTGTTTTAATTAATAGTATTCCGAATAACTAAATTTGATTCACCATTATTTAAATTTAAATTTTCAGAAAGTTGTCTCTTAAGAGCTTTGTATTTTTCTATTTGGTTCGGACAAAACGAAAATATAGAACAGTTTTTATAATCAACACAGTTTTTGAAATTTTTGGACAATTTGAAGAGGGTAAAATCAACAGAATCACTTCTTAAGGGTCCCCAGTCGTCGCCCGCAAAATCGGTTCCAGTGAGAAGAATTATTTTTTGTAACTATGCAACCCAAAGTACCGACCCATCGCAGGAACCGAACCAAAAACACGAGAGATTATGGTCACTGTAGGGAGTCCGTCATAAAATGCAAATAAACTGTTTATATTCAAATATAACAGCAAAACAAAATGGGTGGAAAGTTGTTTCGACAGAACTTCCCTCGCATCTAAAATACAACGAAACATATCCAGCTTTTCGAGTTAAATTTTTTCTTTAGGTACATAATTTTGTGATGAAATCATCAACATTTTGCAAGGACTCGTAAATCAATGTGGATTAGACTTAAAATAACAGTATTCCCAAAATTTCTGGGAAAATGGAGTGAGTCGTTCTTGATTTAATCAATAGAATCAATTGACTCATTCATTAATTTTTTTGAGCCACCTAGGTATATAAACATTTAGTAGCATAATCCTGAATTTGTGGTTTATAAACACATTATTGAGATTTTTCGGCTCGTCGGTTTTTCGATTTTTCAACTTTTAATGTTTCAATTTTTCAATATTTCAATTTATGACATTTTCAATTTTTCCAGTCTTCAAATTTTCGATTTCTCCATTTTTTTATTTTTCGATTTCTCAATTGTCCGATGTTTCAATGATACGATTTCGCAATTTTTCAACTTTTCGATATTTTAATTTTTCAATTTTTAAAATTCTAGATTTTTCGATTTGTCGAGTTTTCAGTTCTTCTATGCATATTTCAGTTTTTCAATTTTCGGAATTTATTAAATTTCTCATTTTACATTTTTTTAAATTTTTCGATTTTCCAGTTTTTCGATGTTTCGATTTTTCAATTATACAATTGTTCAGTTTCTCGATTTCTAAATTTTAGATTTTCCACTTTTTATTTTTTTTATTTTTTCATGTTTCGACTATTTATTATTGCTAAAAATAAAAGTAAAAAATAACTACCAAAATTGTGACTAAAAATATGTAAAAATCAATAGAAAGTAGAACACATTGCTGCTAAAACATAAAAATAACTGTACTTTCCCAAAAAAATCTATTGCATGATTACTGTTCCACTAGTATTGCTAATTTAGGACGTTAGTATCAAACGCAATGAATGAATTAATTCTTAGTTAAACAAAAAAATAGTTGTATGTCAAAATCGAGTGAAACATGTGAGATGTGTGTAAACACAAGCATCTAAATAATAACTATTTCCCGCAGAATTTCTGGAGGCTTATAGAGTCGACATTGGCCTGAGCGCGCTCCGGTCTGTGGATCTAACAAGTTCTCGGGCGACGATATATCTAAAGAGGCAGTTGAAATACCTGATATGTCACAGCGCAAAAAGTATTTCTCAAAAAACTTCCAAACGTCGATGTCTTTTTAATCGAACAAAACACAATCGGCCGAACGCAATAATCCAGAATGGTCCGTCGAAAAATCCTTTAGACTAACCAAACGTTATTTTGGTAAAATTTGCAAAATGAGAGAACAAGTAACACGGCTAATCCTACTGTACTGTGAAAAACATTTTACAACCCTGCAAATCTAGTTCAGCATGTACTCTCCCAAAATCTTTGCATAGAAAATGAAGCAAGGACAACTGAAGCATTTTGCAGTCACACCAAACTGACAATAAGACAATGCGGTTTGTACATTTTTAGCGGCATCGCCAGACGGCTTAATAAACAAAAACGGTATCGTAGCAATATATAAAATGTCCAATTTAAATAATGTTAATTCAACGAGATGATAAATTTTGGGAAAATAATATGATAGAGCCCTAGAAAAATTTTATTTATATGCCTTACTTCCGGAGAGAGTAGATTCTCGTTATTAAACAAGTCAACCCATTAGACAAATTGTAAATAAAAAATTGTACAATTAAAATTTTTTATTTGCATTCGCGTCATGTGCAGTTCATATAAATTTTTTGACCTTCTAGTATAAACACACACAGGAATAAATAGTAACAGTGGAATAGGTTTACTGGAGATACCAAGTAAAAAACTTGCCTATAATACTCTACCTCATAGGTGATGCGGAAAAGAGTATCAAAAAATTAAATTTAAATAAATATGATTGTTCAGGTAAATAAGTGGTTAGTGAAGTGATGAGAATCTAAATCTTGTCAGTTTTGTGTATTGATTAATAAATAAAATGACAGATTAATAAAAAATATTTGAATTATTTTTTGAAAGAAAATATTTTAGTAGAATGTATAAAATTATAAAAATTTGCATACTTTTAAATCAAATTATGTCAGCAATGAAAGAAGTCGACTTGTAAAAGAGTTTCACCAATGTTGGTCAGCTAAGAGTATTTAGGAGTTTTATGGCAAGGCTCCCCGCTGTGTAAAACTCAGCCATTTATTGAAACGGATCTTTGTAAATAGGGTTGCCTAGTTTCACTTTATTTTCATTATTCAGTATTTTTTTAAAAAACAAATATTTTGATAAATATAAATTTTAAACAAAAATGACCGTGTCTTACCCATAGAGCTCAATGTTGTCTTTGGAATGATATAAAAGTTGAAGCGAAAAATGCACTCTCCTCGTCTAAAAATGTAATTTCCTTCGAAGAATGAACGATTAATTAAACACTAAACAATCACTTATTTTAAAAAATATTGTATCTTCCCCAGAGAATTAGACATAATCTATCAATTGAAATGTCGATCTTTTTTTCAAAGTTGAAATTACGCCCGTAAAATGAAATTCTATTTATCTCATTTTTCGGTCTGCTACTGGGCACCCTTAATATAATTTTTATGGGTCGACTTCGTGACGAGTTGTTGGCAAATCCGCAAATGTCAAAGAGACAAAAATTAACATTAAATTACGACTAAAAATATACCTTTCTAAAATATTATAAACAGCTCGTATGACTGTTTAGCCTTAGAATGCGATATTATTATGCCTGTAAACAGAAACTTACCAATTGAAAAAAACGTACCCAAATACCGTAATTTAATTTAATAAATGGATAAGTTTAATAAATCGGGTGCTAAGTTTGCGCCTTTGCATTTTAGCAAACACTAACCGCTAAATATTTGTTATTTATTCCAAATAAGCAATTTTATTAAATCCGAAGGTGAATTGTAAACTGATTGGGCATATAAAAACCACCAAAGATAGCACGAGGACTGATTAGGGGTCACAAAAAGCGAAGGCGACTACAAAAAAATTATTAAATTATCATGAAAGAACATAATTTGGTCAAATTTCTACTTTACGTTTGAGCTGCCGAAAACAAAGTGACCTGTAAGACCATAAATAAAGAAAAAAAAAACAAGAAATACTTCGAATAGTTGTGAAGATTTCAGAAAAAATGGTCCGCATTGGGGAAATTAAATATTTTATGAAAATTTCGGAACGCGGTATTTACCATTGTGTTTTCGCTTATGACTTATATTTTCTGATGGGTAAAAAATTTGCATTAGGTAGGTATACCTATGGTTCAAATTTGCTCGTATAAGGGTGCAAAACTTTTGTTATTATTTGCCCAAAAATATAAATTAACTTTGATGGATATTAGAAATAACAATAATTTTTTCAATAGAAACAAAAAAAAATGTCTTTATTCTATTATAGCTATTTTTAAAATCATGTCCGTTAGATTTTTCAAAGAGAAGATTCTTAGTTGAACTGCGGCTGTCATAAAAGGCAGTTTTCTGTGAACGACCCTACTAAGGCCCGGTTTTACAATGCAAGCTTAAGCGAGGTTCAAAGATAAGCCTTGGTTCAACTGCAGTTGTCCGTTTTACAATACATGGTTCAATGTTAAACCGCGCTCAAACGAAGGCTCAGCTGAGCGCTGATGTCAGGGTGGTTTAAGCTTCGCTCAACTGTCCATAACCTCAAATGTCTGTGCTTTATCGTTTAGGTGGTGTGACAGCATTATAATTGAAGATGGAAAATTTATTAGGAGTATTAACTGACGATGAAGACGTTTTAGAAATGATAAACATATTAGAACCGGCACGTATGCGACGACCAAAAGTTTTTCAGTTGAGAGAAAATCACTTTGAAAAGTGAAATGCTGGGGAATTTTTGAAACGATTTCGTTTTTCCAAGACTGGCGTACGGTTTATTTTGCAACAAATACAGGAGCAAATTACATCGCGAACAGAAAGAAATCATGCAGTATCACTGGAGCAAATGCTACTTGTGACTTCACGTTTCCTTGCCACTGGATCTTTTCTGCAAGTTGCTGGTGACTTTATAGGGATTAGTAAAGCAACAGCTTCTCAAATAATTAATGTTTTGGGGTGTGGAAAAGACGCTTTCCAGCATTGGCTTTTGGAATTCGTTTAAAAATGTGTAAATTAGAGGCAGTGGTTGTGGCAACAGCAGTTTTACACAACATTGCAATTATTTTAAATGAAGAAGAACCGCCAGTGGACGCAGAAGAAGAAGCAGCAGTGAATTTTGTGAACGATGTTCTAATTGAAAACATTGGAGAATATAGTGGCAATTATAATCAGAACAATTTTGTACGGAACCAGTTCATCAGAGAATATTTGACTCATTTGCTTTTTTTGATTTCGTTTTTAGTTGCAGTAAATAATAAAATGTAATGTAATTATTTATTTAAGTTTTATTATTTAAAATATTAAATTTTTGGGCAATTAATATTTCAATCTTCATTTGGTGTTCTGCTTTATTACTTCTAATTCAAGTGCAGCTTTGTCTCTCATAATTTGCATTTCTAGTTCATGTTTCTCTTTCATGGCTTTTAATTTAAACTCTTGCTCCTTTTGGATGTATTCCTTTCGACTTAGTTCGACAAGTTCTTTGGCAGCGGCACATTGCTCTAAATTATCACTTGTCTGGTTTCCTTTACCTATACAAACAATACATTAATAAAGTTTTAAGACAAGTGTCAAACATTTTTTAATATAAATATATATACATATAATACCTCTACGATATGGCGTGAGTGCTGAAAATTTTTTTTGCTTCAAGATTTTGGGGGAGTATTTAGCCCAATTCCCAGTTTGACCATTTTCTACAAAAATAACCATATTTGATTATTATTAATGTTTACCACTTTCTTTATTGGGACCACTTATTTTATCCATAACAGGCACTTCTCTCGAAATTGCTCCGGTTTGATCTTTTGGCATAAAACAATCTGAAATAAAGAAAAAATAGTAAAAAATTTCTGAATAAAGTGTATGTAAGGATAAAAAGTATTTACCATCATTTTCGTCATCAGACAGATTATACCGCTGTTACTTTGGAATGCTGAAAAGCATCAACATTTTAATTTTACAATACATATTATTCATAAAAATACTTATTAGAGGTTGTTTCGGAATCGCCATCAAATTCGCTGCTATGCCCCATTGGTTTGGCCCCGAGAATTTCTTTTACAGCCACATCAACATCGGTGGCCTCAATACTTTGTTGTGACCCTCTCCCAGTACCACCGACATAGGCTTTCTCGTCAGCAAATTTTTTCGTTGTCCTCTTCTTAATGTTGTCGTACTTTTTGTTCAAAACTTTGTGATCCCGGAAGGTCTGGCCAGATAAAGAATTGAACTCTACTTCAATTTTCTTCCAACACTGATTTTTTTTTTTTTTTTTTGATTTGCATCAGTGTTGGACAATTTACACTCCAGAATATTTCTATACTTGCTTACTAAAGATAGGAGCAAGTTTTCTTCGGATTTTGTAAAATTCGGAGCACGTGTATTACTCATCTGAAACGAAATGTTAAAAACCATCATAATCATCTACTATTAACGAGCAAATGTTACATATACACATATACGTACCCCAGTAACGCAAAAAACTAATTACTTTGCAGAATTTGTCACAAATAATTTATAATAATGTGACATGATGACATAGATGACAACAACAACACACTTCCAACGTGCTCCCAACGTGGCCTCAACTGTCAGATTCTCGGGTGCGCGCTACCAACCTAAGGAAATTTGTGGTTCAGCTGAACCGGACGATAGCGGTGTTTGTAAAACGGACGCATGAATTGAACCTCAGTTCAGTTGAACTCAAGTTCAGTTGAACTCGTGTTGAACCGGACATTTGTAAAACCGGGCCTAAGAGTTTAAAACTAGTGAAGCTAGTAATTTATTGCAATTCAAAATCGCTTTATTCAAAAATATTGAAGCTACTTAAAGTCTGTATTAAGATAAGAGGTAATGGGTGAGGACTGACAGGGTTTAGTTTTTCCAAGAAATAATGTGCGTCCAAAGTAATGGTACACATTTTAAATAAATTAAGGGTGATTATTACAATAGCACCACCTGCAGACAATTTTACCTGGAAAAAGTCGATGTTCAGACCGCTGTAAATTACTTCAACTGATTTCTAAATGAGTGGTGGATTTGTTGCCACCCCCAAAAGAGGGGATCGCTTGCTATTTAAAGGAGACAACAACAACATTATTTTCATTCAACTGAAAGTCAACGCTTTAAAAGCAAATTCATTCGTCTGGCCATATCACGAAATTTATTTCGAAAATGTCTTCACGTATTGGTAAGTACACTATTTGTAATTTACTTTTTCTTTAACTCAAGTTAAAACTTAAAAACACTTTACTTGTACTCATTTTCGGTATACTTCACTTTTTTTTCGTATTTTGGTAACTATTCACATTTCATAGTTTTCTTTTTTTGTTAACAAGTGTAAACATTTTTATTAACTTTTTTCAATTCGAGGTTTGATCTTAGCAACGTTCCTAAATTTATTGTCAAAATTCTGAAAAATTTTAAACTCTTTGGAATAAAACTTAATAATTTTCTTATGTTTTTCAGTTATGAAGGTGCCGCTGCCGCCGCCGCCGCCGCTAAAGCCGCCCTATCGCATCACCGCGCATGTGAGAAGAATTTAGTCTGATATACTTATGTACCTATAACAATAAAGCTGTTAGAAAAAGTTTGTTGTTTTCACAATTAATAATGTCGTTTCGCCGTAAAACATTTCTAGATTTTACATGAATATATAGTCGATTTTTCGCGACTTACTTTTCGTAACTGAAAAGTATGGTTACGGTATGGTAAAGTATAGTGAACCAAGACCTATAAGGTTATATGGCCATCATAAAAGTAGTTGACCGCAAATAAATACCCCCTTTGTGTGGTTCGCACTAAGCTTACCGGTTGGCAATAAATCATCTTCTAAACATTTCTTGCTCATATTTAACAGGGCCTGCTTTCAAAGCGAGTGGTTATTTCGGAACCCTCAGCGGCTGCAGGTAGTAAAGAAATAGTGGAGTGGTGGATTTTCATATTTAGTGAAAGCCGCCCCTGAAGGAAACCACAAGAGCCGGTCGAACTAACTAAAACCTTTTCTATTGTAAACAACTTAACTTCGACACAATGGGATGATTTTATGATGGCCATATAACCTTATAACTCTTGGTTCACTATACGACGAAAGATATTTACAAATGACTCCAATTATGGGAATTGCAGCTGTAAAATTTCCGACCACTTCGAAAAGTACACCCAGCATAAAACTGTCAATCAAGATTAGTCGCCAGCCTTATATATTTGTTTTAATACGTGAACAGGTAGATTGTTAAACGGACCGCTTTCAAGGAATTTAATCTTAAAATTTAAGGACACATGAAAGAAGTAAGATTCTGATGTTTTTACACTTCTCAAATTGTCCAAAAATCTCAAAAACTCTGCTCCATATAAAAACTGTTCTATGTTTTCTGACAAAACACCCAACCAAATAGAAAAATAAGAAACAACTTTCTGAACGTTTAAATAATGGTGAATCAAATTTAGTTATTCGTTACGTTAAAGGAATAGCCAAAATAATTTTTGTAAAACTAGTTGAATCATCCACTTACAATTTTCACTGTTATTATCAAAATATACGTGGCTTAAAATCCAAAGTTCTTGATTTTTATACTAACATTTCTTCTTCAAATTATGATGTGATCGGGTTAACTGAATCTTGGCTTACTGCGGACATTAGTGATGAAGAGTTATTTTCTAATGATTATTATGTTTTTCGTAAAGACAGAGATTTAATGTCAACAAAAATAACAAGAAGAGGTGGTGTAGTTTTGGCCATAAAAACATTTTCACAGTCACTGAAGTTGATACAACATATTTCTCTACTATTTCTCCATTTATAGATATTGTTGGTGTCAAAATTCGTTTACACTTCAAGAATTTATACATTTTCGTTACTTATATTCCCCCGTCAATTAAATTTGATGATTATGAACTGTTTCTAGATATTCTTAATAACCTAGATTTTACGCACCACTATAACGTTATGTTTCTTGGTGACTTCAATACTTCGTCATTTACTACTGGGAATTTCAATAAAATTTCGAATGCTTTAAATCATTTTAAGGAAATGCATAATTACATTCAATATAATACAATAGTTAATTCTCATAATCATATTTTAGACTTAATATTTAGTAGTTTTAATTGCTTAGTGACTAAATCTAATTTTCCTCTTCTAGCTGAAGATTCCTTTCATCCGGCATTAGAAATTGATTTTTTGATTGATAAACCTCAATTTGTTCCATTCTTATTAAATACTAGTTCGAAACTGTTCAACTTTAGGAAAGCGAATTTTCCACTTCTTTATGGAATGCTCCTTGAAACTGATTTGTCATTCTTGGATAACATTCATGATGTCAGTGATGTATGTTCTACACTATACGTAAAGTTACACGATTGTCTGCATCTGTCCCTTTGAAACACCACAAACGTAATTTGTCTTCCTATCCTCCCTGGTTTGATCGTGGAATTATAAACTGCATACGCCTGAAATCCAAAATGTTCAACAAAGCAAAAAAGTTCAATTTTACATATTTTGAAAACTTATTTATACACTATCGCCCTCGTTCCAAAGTACTAATCAAAAAAGCCTATCAACGCTATATTGTTGAACTTGAAACCTCATTTACTAACCATCCTCGCAAATTCTGGACTTACATTCAACTGCGAAAAGGCTCCTCATGTATACTAGGACTCGTGAAACATAACGGCATTGAATTTTCCACTTCTTCTTCAATTGTGAATGCCTTTGCATCATTTTTTAGTGGTGTTTTTATTTATTCAGATGTAGATAATCTTAATTTTGATCTTCCTTTTAATGACTAGAATACTAATATATTCATTCCATCCATTTCCGAAGAGGAGATTGTAGCTGCTCTAAAGAGATGCAAAGATAGTTTCAGTCAAGACATTGATAATACTCCCAGCTTCATTCTTAAAGAATGTGGTTACGTCCTTGCTAAGCCCCTACATCCTATCTTCAACTTTCCCAAACATCTGGAAACTGTGTTTCACCAGTTTTTAAAAAAGGCGATTTGTACAATATAGAGAATTATCGCCCAATTTCTCTCCTTTGTTGCTTCTCTAAAGTGTTCGAATTTATGCTTTATAAACATATTTATGGCTCTGTTAAAAATCTTACATCTAGTTCTCAACATGGCTTTATGGAAAAAAAATCTACAGTTACCAATTTAGCATGTTTTCGTCAATTCACCGCAGAAGTAATCAATAACCGAGGTCAGGTCGACGTTGTCTATACAGATTTCCAAAAGGCATTTGACCAAATTGACCACTTCATTCTGTTAGCTAAACTGAAACGTTACGGGTTCTCTGACGCATTATGTTCTTTGATTAGGTCATATCTTGTAAATCGGAATCAGTGTGTAAAATATAAGGAGCACCTACCTGATATTATGTACCAACTTCTGGGGTCCCTCAAGGGTCAAATCTTCTTTTTACTTTTTATCAACGATATTACTCAGGTCATTGCATCCAACAAAGAACTTTTCGCCGATGACTTAAAAATTTACCGTAGCATCACTTCCGTCAGAGACTGCATTTATTTACAACAAGATTTGGCTAATATAATGATCTGGTGCATGAAAAACCGACTTTTTCTTAATATTTCCAAATGTTTCATTGTTTCTTTTTGTTGCAAGATTCATGCATTACTTTTTGATTACACTTTAAACGACATTTTACTTGTACGGAAATCGGAAATTAGAGACCTTGGCATTATTTTTGATGAGAAATTCACATTTAGACAGCATATACAAGACATTACGGCAAAAGCATTTAGGATTTATGGCTTTATATATGGAAATTGTAAAAATTTTCGTTCTACATTGGCGTTAAATGCCCTTTATTATTCGCTAATTAGAAGTAGATTAGAATATGGTGTATTAATCTGGTTCCCTATATATAATATTTATATTACCATGTGAGAATCCATTCAACGCAAATTTTTGAAATATTTAGTATTTTTAATAGATGGCATTTATCCTCAACAAGGGTGTGATTATAATATGTTGCTACTTAGGTTCAATTATAATTCTTTAAATACTCGTCGTATTGTTAATGTAATCCAGTTTTTAATTAAGCTTTTGAATAACAAAATTGATTGTACCCAACTTTTACGTCAAATTAACTTCACTATTCCACGGTTAAACTCTCGTAGATTTTTAACTTTTTATTGTCACACGCCGAAATCCAATGTTTTAAAAAGATCTCCCATTTTCATTATGTGTAATATGTTCAATTTATATGTCAAAGATTGTGATATTAATTTCGATTCTATGAAACGGTTTTATGACGCTATTGTAAATTCAGTAGGTATATAATCATCATACATAGACACGAGCCTATACACTATTTTTTCTACGACCCATTACAATAATGAAACACCTTTATTTTAAAAGTCTATTATTTGTAAGTTACAACTAGAAATATCACAGGAGAAAAACGGAATAAACGAAATGAAACATCAAATTGTGATAGAAATCAAGGCAGACTCATAAATCCCAAATATTGGAATATGTTATGAACGCTCCAAAATTTGAAGTCCGGCTCTGGCTGAAACGGTACCTGTGTTGCGAAGGGATCGTAATGGTTTTATTGCAGGTTGCGGTCCAAAGTACCTACTAAAGACCCCTCATAAAGTAACTGACCTGCTTTATTTGTACAATAATGTTTATACATACCTAATATTCCTCAAATGCCAGTATGAGTACGACCCCACTGCAGAGCGTCTTTAATTAAATTAACTTAAATTTGATAGTAATAATAG